CTGGAAGACACTTGGGAGTGAGAGGGTATGAAGTACACCCTGGACAAAAACCATCACAGAATGAAGTACTCCCAGAACATGGTACACACACACACAGGCACACATTATGATGGTTATAAGAGACGCCCCCTCGGGTGTCACTGTGGTCCAACTCACTGTTCACAGTCTTAATATCACTTGAGCAAGATGATACCGTAACAAAAACTTAATTGTTGGGAATGTGTGCAGCACAGTTTGTTGATGTTATTGTAGTGGTTTTTGTCATGTAGTGGTGGTGATGATACTGGTACTGTTGGAGTGGTGGAGGGTTAGTTTTATTTTGTGATGTAGCGTTGTGGTGGTGTTGTAGGATGGTAGTGGTGGTGTGTTTGTGATGTTCTGTCTTTGTTGGTGTTGTGATGGTGGCCTTGTATGTTGGAGCTGCAGGCACTGATTTTATTTTGTATGCATGCAGATTTGTTACTTGTATTATCTTATGACAGTTGTTGTTAATTGTGATTATCAAATGTTAACTGTACTTGCCGATAATTAGGCTTTATATAAAGCTGTTGTTAATGTAAATGAGGTGTCAGGTTGTTGACGCTTGTTACGCATTTGTTCATGTCACGTATTTTGAGACAATATTTTTTATATAGATTCAAAAATTGTCTAGATTCTGAACTTCAAAAAGATAAACTCATAATTATAATATATATAGGCTGGTTGGACATAAGATGAACATAACGTAAATTTATAATTTTTAATAATAATATTACATATTTTTAACGTAACTGCCTATTTATTAAATTTGTGGTTGTATACATATATTATTTTTTCCATATACAGTAAGAATAATGGATAAATAAACTTAATTTTGAAAGCATGTGTAATGTTAGGCTATGTCAGCAGATAATTTTGCCAGGAATTGTTTGTATGTATCAAAACTTTAGTAAAATCTTCCCATTAAACGGGATAATCATGAGTGCTGAGCATCAAGTGCTAAGTCATTTACTTGTTTAATGAGAAATATAATGTGTCTGACTGTGTTGCTTTAAGCAATTACTTGTTTTATATAAATTAGTCTTAGAGTTTACCATAAATCTTTATCTAATCTACCAGCCCCTCAAGGAAGGTTCCTTGACGCTGGTGAGGGGCTCTAGATCTAGGGAATTGGGTCTGTGCTCCAGTTCCCTGAATTAAGCCTGAATACCTTCCACATCATCCCCACAGGCGTTGCATAATCCTACGGGTTTAGCAAATAGTCGCTGTTGTAAACTCAATGTTATGCTAGACGCTGGGCTCAGAAGTGGTGGCAGATTTGGGAACTTCTCTCTACACGAACTTTCTATTATACTTTGATTAATAACCCATACATGAGTGTTTAACAGACTAGTAATAACGAAAAACATATGTATAAAACAGACAAAATCAGTGAGAAATGGAGGCAAAAAAAGAAAAAAATGATGAATATCCCAGTGAGACAACCGAAGGAATGGGTACACTAATATGTTCAACTTTCCGATGGATTCCAGACGTTATAATAGATAAATTTTGTCCTATCCTGCTGCCTCCACTCAGCCTAGCTCTTTTTTAACAGTATCACGTCTTACTTAATATTTGAATGTTCTTCTAAAATTACATCTGCATTGTATGTATCAGCTAGTAGTGATGATATCTCGTTGTATCAACTAGTAGTGATGATCTCTTGTTGTATCAACTAGTAGTGATGATCTCTCCCTGTATCAACTAGTAGTGATGATCTCTCATTGTATCAACTAGTAGTGATGATCTCTCACTGTATCAACTAGTAGTGATGATCTCTCATTGTATCAACTAGTAGTGATGATCTCATTGTATCAACTAGTAGTGATGATCTCTCGTTGTATCAACTAGTAGTGATCTCTCACTGTATCAACTAGTAGTGATGATCTCTCATTGTATCAACTAGTAGTGATGATCTCTCGTTGTATCAACTAGTAGTGATGATCTTGTATCAACTGGTAGTGATCTATCTCTCACTGTATCAGCTAGTAGTGATGATCTCTCATTGTATCAACTAGTAGTGATGATCTTGTATCAACTGGTAGTGATCTATCTCTCACTGTATCAGCTAGTAGTGATGATCTCTCATTGTATCAACTAGTAGTGATGATCTCTCGTTGTATCAACTAGTAGTGATGATCTCTCATTGTATCAACTAGTAGTGATGATCTCTCATTGTATCAACTAGTAGTGATGATCTCTCATTGTATCAACTAGTAGTGATGATCTCTCATTGTATCAACTAGTAGTGATGATCTCTCATTGTATCAACTAGTAGTGATGATCTCTCGTTGTATCAACTAGTAGTGATGATCTTGTATCAACTGGTAGTGATCTATCTCTCACTGTATCAGCTAGTAGTGATGATCTCTCATTGTATCAACTAGTAGTGATGATCTCTCGTTGTATCAACTAGTAGTGATGATCTCTCATTGTATCAACTAGTAATGTCATTATTACTGTCTTAGCTATCAAAAATAACTATGCAGTTACAGCAGGTACAATGCAAGTTTTTATGAAAATTTTGTTCTATTTAAATAATGACAAATGTAGCAGATAACACTGAAGTATTGTGTGAATATCAGCGTACTAAACCACAAAACAACAGCTTGGAGTTATCAATAAAATTTATATGTTTAATCAGAAATGCAAAATAAATTGGACAGCTTAACAGAATTCATATTTGTATAATTATTTAAATTTAATCACAGTTGAAGTTATAGTGTATAATTGTGCTTCAGGATATTAATTGTTTATAATTCCAAAATTAAATAATATAGTTGTGGTTTCCTTAACACTTCTGTGTTACTGTGACCATAATTTTCAATTTACAAAGACATATACACCGAGAAGTGTAGCTGTGTACATAGACACTATATATATGGTTTATGTCTAATACACACATATACACCAGGAGGTCTCTCAATATATATATTCAAACACATTGAAATATTATTTTTAATCGAATTTCCACCTTTCCTGTATTGTTCAGCAGGTTTCTCTGGTAAGTAGGTTCATAAGGTTTATTAACTGTTAAAATTAATATATACATAATTAAAGAAAAAACCGACCTATATATTTAATCCCTAGAATAATGAATAAGTTATACCCAGAATGTATTATGCACTCATATAGTCTTATATATAAACTTTCGTCATTTTCTGAGTACACTAGCCTGAAGTGTGGTTGGTCTTCTATATAACTGAATATATTGTTCATATAGCTGTGAGTATGGTGAATGTATATACCTAAAATATTATTTATTGTTTTGTTTTTTTAGCTCAAGTGTTATTGAAGACTGGGAGACATCGTGGGGGCATCACGGGCGTATATACCTACTACTGTCCAGTGTGCATCAGGCAGCAGCAGCAGCAGCAGCGGGAACATAATAAGTTAGTGGTACCCAGGAGAACCTGACCCAACCCCAGCATGCTACAACTCTCACTGTGGTAAGTACAATTGTCTACGAGTAGTTTAATAAGGCGACTACAGGAATGAAAGTCACAATACCGTATCTGCATCAGTTCGCAACTAAAACAAATTGGAAATGGAAACTAGAGACGCTTTTGGTTCATCCTGGACCACTGTCAAGTTGGTGAGGGGTTTGATAATGGTCCAGGATGGACCACTGTCAAGTTGGTGAGTGGTTTGATAATGGTACATCCTGGACCACTGTCAAGTTGGTGAGTGGTTTGATAATGGTCCATCCCGGACCACTGTCAAGTTGGTGAGTGGTTTGATAATGGTCCATCCTGGACCACTGTCAAGTTGGTGAGTGGTTTGATAATGGTCCATCCTGGACCACTGTCAAGTTTTTTTTTTTTTTTTTTTTATTCGCCGGTATTCTGATAATGGTCCAGGATGAAGCGAATAATAGTTCTCATTTTCAGTCTGTTAGATAGTTGTAAGGCGACTATACTGAACCTGTCTTATTGGCTGATTAGTAACTTTTATGCTGAGGACAAAATGGTTTAATAGAGTTACTTAAAAGATATAAAAAATCTACTTTCTATTCTACTCAAGGTTATTTATAATTAATAGTTAGAGCAAATATACATTGTCTAAGACAGCCTTGTGTTACCAACACTTATTATGGTGTCCACAGAAAACTGAGTCATGAACCTCTAACTCAAGTATCTCTTAATTTTTTATGCTGTATACCTTATTAACCTTTCAAAGGGGGTGCCTTGGTGTTGATTAATTGCTTTTGATCCAAGAAATTAGAGCTACCCTCCTCTTGCATCAAACCTGATTAACTCGCATTTCCCAGGCGCTCTATGACCCATACGGGTTTGGCCGCTTCCCCATGAATATAATGCTAATAATCTATGTATTTTTATGGAATGGAATATTTATCTTAATCATACTGCGATGATGAGTTATCAGAAGTTTTGAATATTTGATTTAGCATGCAATAATTTGTTACTTTGCATTTATTATTTATTATGAACATAAATAAATATTTGAGTACCTTACAGAAATAGAGGTATTTACTGGCTTTGAAGGGTTATTTTTTTCTTAAATTTGGCTGGCAAAGAATTCGTCATTGTAATGTTACGATTATAGTTTTGACAGTCCTCGATGACGCACTGACTTTCTTGGGTTATCCTGGGTGGCTAACCCTTCGGGGTTAAAAATCCGAACGAAATCTTATCTTAAGTCATTACCCATGGCAATATGTACATTGATAAGAAGGAAGAACTGACATTATAGTTGTGTTGGTAACAGTCAGGACAAAAGAAGGCAGTAAGAGTGAGGCTGCAGACAGCAGATATATTACCATAAGTAAAAGATTTTCATTTGTCATTAGCTTATACCTTTAGACACAATTAATTGGCTATAAATAGAAAGCTTGGGTGTAGAAAATACTTAGAGAAGCTACTGAAAGTATGTCTGTTGTCTGCCCTTGACTCCCTAGATATGTCATAACACAAGTTTTAAGGCAGATCTTTATCGGGAAGGAAGGTGGAGTTACTTACAGTGGTGTGGTCATGGTGTCCGGAGTAGCCATGGTGACCACCCTCGTCGGCAAAGTCTTCCCTGTGTTCTCTTTGGTAGTTCTCCTGTAGAAAAACAATGCGTCAGCAGGATAAAGTATGTTTGGCTTCTTCTTACACCGAGAATGTGTGACGTCTCTGTGTCGTAGATGTGTCTTGTCTTCTAATACTGGATAAACATTAGCTTGTCTATAGTGTCTTTCAAGATATAAATGTGTTGGTCGCATAGACATATGGAGATATATGTACATATGTATATTTTGTTCTCTTATGAAAGAGAGATGAGCTCAAGCGTCTTGAACCAAATAAAATTATTGTAATATTGCTGAAATATAAAGCAAATGCTGAAATATAGCCTACACTCGAGATTACATGCACTATGTGGGTGACCTGAGTATATTACAGTGTGGCCAAACTTCTACCCATTGAACTATAATAATGAACAGTCTAATACATCTTACATCTTTCTCAGTTCTGTGCTAACATAGTATACCATCAGATATGTATGTGTGTTTTGCTCATAAAAATATAAGTTGTAATAGTAATTATATCTCAACATAAAATTAAAATTTCGTTATGTCGTTAATCTTCACTTATTAAAATCATGTTAATGATCTTGAGGTAAGGGTCACACAGCGTCTGGAGAATGGGAGGTTTTCGGGTTCGAGCCAAGGAAAGGGATGTGTAACTCCAGTTCCTTGAATTAAGTTTCCTTCACTAGCATCAAGGAATGATCTTTGATACAATATTATCCATGTAAGGTCTACTGAACCTGCCATAGACAGGTTCAGAAATTTTTCTCGCCTCCTTTGATACCAGTGAAGGGCTCTTGATTCAAGGAATTGGGAGGTACCCACCCCTTGGATCAGAGCCAATTTTCTCCCATTTCCAAGGGGATGAATGCCGTTTACGACCGTAGCGCTTTTATATAATAATAATAATAATAATAATAATAATAATAATAATAATAATAATGTAATCCCTTTGGGCACATATAGCGTGAGTGTTGATGGTCTTCCTGCACAGGATATATATGTAAGGTGGGGGTGGGGGTGGGGCAGGTCCAGTAATTTACTTTAATGGTCCTGGAATGGCATATAAATATCGAATAAGTAGAATAAATAACACTAGGATGCAGTGGATAACTTTATTAATCAAACGTTTTGCCCACACACTGACTTTATAAAGTCACTGACTTGATAAAGTCCGTGTCACAGTGTCAGTTACACTGCTTCATTTAATGAAATAAAAATCTAATCTATTAATCTAATTATGCTTTTATCACAGCCTGCACAAAATACAGGTGTGTGCTGTAATAGTCTGCTGAGGCCTACTGCTCACTAGCAGGTTTGTATAGAGGCAAGAACATGAGGCTATTTTGAAACTAAGTCTAAAGCCTACTTATACTAATTCATTTTTACTTAACGTCCAATATGAGCAAATGAATGATATTTGTATGCAATAAAAAATTCACATAGTCGTATGTACTATTACTGGAAACTATTTGGAGACACAGACATTACCAGAATAGCCTAAATGTGGAATTTATTGTAGAGTATGGGAGCTACGTCCCTCTGTAACACTCTCAGATATTTATTAATGTGTCAGCATGAATATCTCAGAAATATATTTAAGTGATGCATTTGTAGGAACAGCAAGAATACTGTGAATTAAAGCTAAAAGTAGTGGACTGTATGTAGTAAGTACATTTACATTAAGGATGTATCCACCGAGAGGTAGTTTCAGGGATTAAAGTATTCTTGACTGGTGGGGAACATGTTACATGCAGCTTTATGATACTAGTCGATAGGTTTGAAACCTAATTAACCAATATTTGGAGTCTTTGAAGATGTTTGTCACATCAGTAACCCATCCAAGAACAAGAATTACACAATCACATTATGCATTATATAAATAAAGAGCTCTATTCTAAACGGTTCTACATGATAATTATTTATTACTGTGCATATTGGATGGATTTTATCCTGAATCCAGTTTGACTGACGTCTCGGCCCATTACTAAACAGCACCTGATTCGCATTGCTACACAGCTTTACACTGTCTCGTGGCATACAGTGAATCTCCCTACAACGAATATTTCTCCCGTCTTGTTATCTAAGTCATTACACTTTTCAACTACCCTGGGAGAAAATAAATACTTCCTCACACCCCTATGGCTCATGTGTCTTCAGCTTTCACCTGCGTCTGTGCGCGTGCGGATGTGTATGTGCGTGTACAAAACTGAGTCCCTGATCTTCCATATATTAACTATTGTAAGCAGACACACTGAATGTTACATACTCATACGTTCCGAGTCCTTGGCACAACACTTAAGACACGTGCTAGGTGTCGATCGATGCAGGGGGACGTGTTAACAAGATTACATGCCAGCTAGCCTGCCTGCCTAGCAGTGTTATCCCGTGCTCGTCATCCAAGAACACAAAATGCATATAAGGTTGAGTGAGGTAGTGAGAGAATATGCAACACACTGAATGCTTAATGACATACGTTCGGTGACAGATATCAGTCAGGCATCAAACCATGTTCCTTATCCTCGTGGAATGCTTGTAAAGCTGTAACGGACAATACGTGTAGAAAAGTGTACATTTATGGGTTATAACTAGAAGAAATGACTGGTGAATATTATGTGTTGGAGAATACATATGGAATACGTACATTTGTGAAGCATGAATAGAAGTTATAACTGGTGAAGTACAAAGTACTGTGAGTGTTGAAGAGTACAAGTGGAACAGAGTATACTTATAAGGTATGACTGGGAGGGATAACTTTTTGAGGAAGAAATATGTGTTGGAGAGTACAGATGAAACAAGAGTACTAGAAGAAGAGATAATTGAAATATTATTATAATGAGCATCACAGACGAACCCATGCGCAGAAAACTAAAGTTAATATATTCATAATAAAGCGTAAACTCGTGTGGGTCGTAATAAAAAATATAATAATAGTATCTTATCTTATCCTATATTTCGGCCTCAGTCTGTCTACTAAAGTGGGCCTCAGCCCGAAGTCCAAATATAGAATATTAATTTCAATTGGATCTGTTACGAACTATACGAGAGCAGAGATTCATTATGAATATATTGGCTGTTTTAGTTTTTACTGTGGGTTCGTCTGTTCCTTTGATTAATTTTGATTATAGTTTAGTGTGTATTATGAGGCTACGCACAGTGGGGCTGGGGTTGGTGGCGATGACACAGGTCCCAGCCACCAGCACCGCGGCACTAACAGCAGCCACGCCTGCAGCGCCGCTCACCACCTCCCCGTCATCCTGCACCCCTCACAACACACCAGGAAGCCACATGCAGGAGGAAGATCTACATTAAACTGGTGATTTTGGAACTACTTTAGTGAGTGACCGAAGCCACCTAGCCACTGGAAGGTGGGAGTTCATTGCTCAAAATATTTAGACATGCTAGTAATGATGCACTTTTTTTTATATATATATTTAAGGTTCATCTATCTTGTGCTGTATTGGAGACAACATTCCTCAGGCTTCCTCAAGTCTGAAAACATAACAAGCAAGACAAAAGCTCATCTCTCTCTGTCCTTAAATGTGAGATGAATATTTTTTTAATACAGTGCCTGGCTAGTTAAAACTATTGGTTAGAAAATATAGCATCAGACAACATGCACGACTGACTGAAACTCAAGATAAAATATTCACAATAAAACGTGTTTCAATTTTTTTAAGATATTTAGACACGATATGATATGTTTCAATGAGTGAATTATCCACATTCCACAATGCATTACCAAATGTGTCGTCAACATAAAATAACTCATGAACACATCAACTGCGATCTCTGAAGATATAAGTACTCATCTTAATATTTATTATATGGAACTGGAATAAAAATGGCGATCTGTCATACGTTGTTTTACAGGGTCTTAAATGACACCCACCTCTGATTCGTCGAACTCCGGCTGATGGTGACTTCGTGAGGCGAAGGAGGTGAATGGAGTAGACTCTTCACGCGTCTCCATGTCTCCTGGGCCTTCCACCGCTGGGTTGCCACCGAGGAAGTCAACATTGTTTCCTCCTACACTGCTTATCCCCGTGTCTCCAACATCTTGACCTGTCACATCCTCAGCATTTCCGTCTTCATCATCTCCAACAAAGAAACTTACGTTTTTCTCTTCAGGATCAGCGGCATTGCTGGCAGCATCCTGGCTGGGCTCCTCCGGGGCGGGAACTGCTGCTGCAGACCTTAGTCTAGCTGAAGCCAGTGGAGTATTCCTTGGCTCTTCCTCAACACTACCTTCCATTGCACTCAACACTGATTTCTCTACTTCTTGAACAGTTTCAGCTGCCGCCACAGTGTTTGCAACATCTTCATCTGCAACTCCTGTAACATCAGCCGTGCCTGCATGATCTTCAGTGGCATCACCGGTATCTTCAGCATCTTCATCTACAGCTTTTGTAACTTCAGCTGCAGCATCTGTATCTTCAGCTGCAACATCTCCAGCTGTAGCTCCTGTATCTTCAACTGTATCTGCAACATCTTCAGCATTAGCTCCTGTATCTTCAACATTTTCAGCTGCAGCTCCAGTATCTTCAACTGCGGCTTCTGTATCTTCACTTGCAGGCTCTGTTTCTTCAGCTGCAGCTTCTAAATCTTCAGCCGGAGCTCCTGTATCTTCAGCTGCAGCTTCTGTATCTTCAGCTGCAGCTCCTATATCTTCAACTGTATCAACAACATCTTCAGGTGCTGCTTCTGTATTTTCAGCTGAAGGTGCTGTATCGTCAGCTGCAACTTCTGTATCTTCAGCTGTTGCTTCTGTATCTTCAGCTACAAATTCTGTATCTTCAGCTGCAGCTTCTGTATCTTCAGCTGCAGCATCTTTATCTTCAGCTGCAGCCTCTGTATCTTCAGCTGCAACTTCTGTATCTTCAGCTGCTGCTTCTGTATCTTCAGCTGCTGCTTCTGTATCTTCAGCTGCAACTTCTGTATCTTCAGCTGCAGCTCCTGTATCTTGAACTGTATCTGCAACATCAGCTGCAGCTCCTGTATCTTGAACTGTATCTGCAACATCAGCTGCAGCTCCTGTATCTTCACCTGGAGCTCCTGTATCTTCGGCTGCTGCTTCTGTATTTTCAGCTGGAGCTCCTGTATCTTCAGCTAATGCTCCCGTATCTTCAGCTGAAACTTCTGTATCTTCAGCTGAAGCTTCTCCATCTTCAGCTGCAGCTCCTGTATCTTCATCTGCAGCAGCTGTATCTTCAGTTAATGCTTCTGTATCTTCAGCTGCAGCTCCTGTATCTTCATCTGCAGCAGCTGCATCTTCAGTTAATGCTTCTGTATCTTCAGCTGCAGCTCCTGTATCTTCAGCTGCAGCTCCTGTATCTTCAACTGTGTCTGCTATATCTTCAGCTGCAGCTTCTGTATCTTCAGCTGCAGCTCCTGTATCTTCAACTGTGTCTGCTACATCTTCAGTTGCAGCTTCTGTATCTTCAGCTACAGCTCCTGTATCTTCAGCTACAGCTCCTGTATCGTCAGCTGTATCTCCTGTTAATTCAGCAGCAGCCTCTGTATCTTCAGCTGCAGCCTCTGTATTTTCAACTGCAGCTCCTGTATCTTCAACTGTATCGCCTGTATCCTCAGCTACAGTTTCTGTATCTTCAGTTGCAACTCCTGTATCTTCAACAGCAGCTTCAGTATCTTCAGCTGCAGCTCCTGTATCTTCAGCTATAACTCCTGTATCTTCAACAGCAGCCTCTGTATCTTCAGCTGCAGTTCCTGTATCTTCAACTGTATCTTCAGCTATAACTCCTGTATCTTCAACAGCAGCCTCTGTATCTTCAGCTGCAGCTCCTGTATCTTCAACTGTATCTCCTGTATCTTCAGTTGTATCTTCTGTATCTTCAGCTGCTGCTCCTGTATCTTCAACTGTGTCTCCTGTATCTTCAGCTGCTGCTCCTGTATCTTCAACTGTGTCTCCTGTATCTTCAGCTGCTGCTGCTGTATCTTCAGCTGCTGCTTCTGTATCTTCAGTTGCTGCTGCTGTATCTTCAGCTGCTGCTTCCGTATCTTCAGTTGCTGCTCCTGTATCTTCAGCTGCTGCTCTTGTATCTTCAGCTGCTGCTCCTGTATCTTCAACTGTATCTCCTGTATCTTCAGTTGCTGCTTCTGTATCTTCAACTGTATCTCCTGTATCTTCAGTTGCTGCTTCTGTATCTTCAGCTGCAGCTCCTGTATCTTCAACTGTATCTCCTGTATCTTCAGTTGCTGCTTCTGTATCTTCAGCTGCAGCTCCTGTATCTTCAACTGTATCTCCTGTATCTTCAGTTGCTGCTTCTGTATCTTCAGCTGCAGCTCCTGTATCTTCAACTGTATCTCCTGTATCTTCAGTTGCTGCTTCTGTATCTTCAGCTGCAGCTCCTGTATCCTCAGCTGTATCTCCTGTATCTTCAACTGCTGCTTCTGTACCTTCAACTGTATCTACTGTATCTTCAGCTGCTGCTTCTGTATCTTCAGCTGCAGCTCCTGTATCCTCAACTGTATCTCCTGTATCTTCAGCTGCTGCTTCTGTATCTTCAGCTGCTACTTCTGTAACTTCAGCTCGCTTCTGTTCTTCAGCTGTTGCTTCTGTACTTCAGCTGCCCCTTCTGTATCAGCTGTTTTTCTGTATCTTCAGCTTCGCTTCTGTTCGCTGTTGCTTCTGATCTTTACTGCAGCTTCGTATCAGCTGTTCTTCTTTTCTTTAGCTGCATTTTTGATCACTGTTGCTTCGTATCTTCAGCGCACCCTTTTGTATCAGCTTTGCTTCTGTTTCTTCAGCTGCAGCTTTTGTTCACTTTGCTTCGTATCTTCGCTCAGTTTTGTTTCAGCTGTTGCTTCTTATCTTCACTCAGCTCTGTACAGCTGTTGCTTCTGTACTTTAGCTGCGCTTCTTATCAGCTGTTGCTTCTGAATTTTCCCGCAGCTTTTGTATCAGCTTTCTTCTGTATCTTTAGCTGCACTTCTGTATCGCTGTTGCTTTTGTATCTCAGCTCAGCTTTTGTATCTTCAAATGCAATTCTGTATTTCTGCACCCTCACTGATCTTTTGCACCATCGCTGTATTGTGCACCACAGCTAACTGTTCAAGTGCCTTGTTAGATCCTCGGACATATCTTGGGGTGATCTCCGTATGAAGCTGCCATGCTCCTGCTGCAGCAGCTGCTGCTCCGAGCTGCCCCCCCCATCAAGGCACCGAGAGACCGTTCCTTTTTTTCGTTCCTTTTTTTTTTGCCTCCGTCTTCCATATTTTTCCTTTCTCTTGGCGAGATGGTCACGAGTGGGCTAACCACTTTCCTTCCCGGTCGGTTGGTTCGGTTTTAGGCGGCTACGCGCGGCGGCCAAGGACAGGTCTTTTTTTTGTCCTTGGTGTCAGCTATTATGGATCGACGGGCGGGTCTGTTGGCAGCGCGATCAAGAGACCCTGTCTTCGTCAGTGTCTCCTCCTTGAGATGCTTTACTTCCTTTTTCCTGCCCGCCACGCTCGTCGGCACCTGGGACAGCGACACTCGTCAGGACAGTGACATACTTGCAAGACAACGACACTGGTCAAGACGATACTTGTCACCGTCGATCTACACACACACACACACACACACACACACACACACACACACACACACACACACACACACAACACACACACACACACACACACACGTGCATGCAATTTCAGAATGATAGATTAATATATTGGCAGACTGCGGCTGCGACCGACACATTACGAAAGCCTCTGGAATCTGTTTCTCTTTCATTGTGGTCAAATTGTATATTAAGGTATCACATGTGTTGTTATGTGTGTGATTTTGCTGCACTTACATATGTATGTAATTTTACCTGAATTAGTTTTAAAAATTATATTACATGATGTCTGTAAAAGAAAATGCTGAAGGTATTCCTTCAACAACGTGTCTGTCCATTCTTCAGCACATGAGAGTCCACAAGAAGCTTCCAGGGAAGACGTGTTGCTGTTACTAACACTCCTCCATTTTGTGCTTAATTTCCCTGGCCACCACCTTTTTCCCGTGTCCTCCCTTGTACCTCGTTGTTCAGTAAATACGAAAACTAACTCCTGGTCTCTTGCGTGCGCTTGTTACCAACAGACACTTCCTGTTCACCCAGGTGCTGCAGCATTCTTATGAAGGAACATCATATTCGCTGATTACTCTGTCTTCTACTGAATGTTACGTCATAAGTGTATGACTGGGACAGTGCTTCAAAAGGTACGTATATGGCTAACTTCTTTCTGTGGTCTCGTGAATGTTACTGTTCTTGCCTAAGTGAACGCCATCACGTAACGAATAGAGATGTAAATATATAAATATTTTCCTCTGTCAGCCTGGTTGGTCGCAGAGACCGGGCCGCGATTAATGGATGAAGAATTGAGCCTTCACCTATGCCGGTACTGAATGACCCATACAAGGTTAGCGCTTCATGAAATACAGTATTATCTCTTAATTCGGTTGCCAGCAAGTAGTCCCTGGATCCACAACCCTGTTCGTGTGTGTGCTAGCCTCTATCAAGAGTGTTCGCTGACCCTGGTTTGCTTCCACACGAGATTTGACTTCTTCACCGATGTACTATATAAACCATACGATTTTAGCACTTTATTATAGCAACAATAATAAGCCTACTTCTTCTTATTCCTTATTTTCTAAGCAATCAACCTCACGATAAGTCTATTACCAAAGTATGTCAGTTGATGCTTTGTTATGGTTAATCCAGTTGTGGCCCTACACGAACGAGCAGGAGGTGGGGAAGGGGGCGCCTTCACGTCATATAACGTAACGAGAGATTCACAGCTTTGTTTTATAGTACCGTTTAGTGTTCACGGAACTGTGCAACAACACGTGATGAAGCATTCTGCTGGTAGCTCGTCGGCTGTCCCACAGTGAAGCACTATCATCTACCAGTGAAACACTATCATCAACCAATGAAGCGCTATCATCCACTAGTGAAGCACAGTCATCCACCAGTGGAGTACTATCATCCCTCAGTGTCCTTTCTTCGGATGATTTTTCTTCCAGGGTTTAGGGAAGGGTTATAATTATTTATACTTATTGCAAAATAAACACAAACGCTGAAAATAATGAGCTCTTGATTACCCTTGCAGAGGAACACATTCGGCAGCCACGAAACTACTGCTAAGCTTAATGGGAGCAGAAAGCTGAAAAATAAGGCTTAACTGTGTCTTCAAGAAGACATAATATGTCTCGGCTAGAGTACGGGCCTCTCGTTGGCTCTCTAGACCACTGTGGTCCCAAGCGCGAGTCTTGCAAACGACCGGTCTTCTAAACCATTGGTCCCAAGCACTGGTCTAGCAGACAATCGGTCATCTGATCCACTGTGGTCCCAATCAGTGGTCTAGCATCTGATCCACTACGGTCCCAAGCAGTGGTCTAGCATCTGATCCACTGTGGCTCCCATCAGTGGTCTAGCAGACAGACATCAGAACCATTGTGGTTGCCATCAGTGGTCTTGCACTAACTACCAAACAATTAATTAAAGAAATAAAGCAGAATAACTAAGCTACTGTAAACATAACTGACCTTTAGTTTGTAAAGCCACTAGAAATTATGAATCGAAAATTTATTACTAAAAATAAAAAAAATATATATTAATAAACTGCAGCTACAGTTAGCTTATATTTTAGCAAATAAAGAAGATACCAGAGATGTAGAATAGGAGACGAGGAGTGACCAAATAAGTGAGAAAGAGGAGAGGACGAGAAGAAATTAAGAAATAGTAAAAATAGCATAATTTATAGAGTAAATATTGATTTATAGCCTCCGTTTCGCCCTAAGAACTTTATATACTCAGTTATCTGATAAGGGTCTACAAAGAGCGAAACGTTGTCTCTCAAGGCTTCCTCTGTACATAGTGATTTATTTTTTTTATCATATTTGTCGGCAAGGATTGCCATGAAGGAGATACGGAGATGGTTGGAGAGTGTACTGACGACACAGGGATGAAGACAACGTGAAAAAACTTTTAAGCTATATTTGCTATGTCTTAAGATATATAATATAATATATATATATATATATATATATATATATATATATATATATATATATATATATATATATATATATATATATATATATGAGGGAGGTATATACACTAGTCAACAAAGATGGAAGTTGTTGGAGTACTGGACAGTACAAGTTATGAGGAGGGAGGTGCAGTGTTTAAGAAGAAAAACGGAGCACTAGGATGAACAGGAGACAAGGGAGCGTTTGGGCCACTGTACAGGACTGGGGGCTAAAAAAAAAAAAGAGATAGAAAATAACGAGGGAGTGATGAAGGAGGGGGTGAGAGAAGGGAGTGAAGGAGGAAAAGGAGAGAGAGAAGGAGGAAGGAAGAATAGACGAACCGTGCCACCTCCAGCAGGTCCCCTCCTGCTGGTGCGCTGGGAGCCTGCTTCACCCTGGCTGCTGGCGGAGATCCTCCTGCGTCTGCTACCACCGTACGGCGCGCCATCTGTACCACACAAGATATACCACTGAATAACTTGAGTAAGAGCATTATTATTACACTCGTGGAGGGTGCGCTAAACCAACAGGGCTAATACAGCGCCTGGGGGGGGGGTTATAAATGGAAGGCAATCACATTCGACACAAGGAGACGGAGGGTAGCTTCACTTCTTGTGATTAAAAGTCTAGGGAACCTTTATTAACATCAAGAAACCTCCCTAGAGGAAATTATTATTAGTAGTAAGGATACAGATATCACTAATGGGGTGGGGGAAGATCGTGGAGTGGGGCGAGGGTCGTGGAGTGGGGTGAGGGTCGTAGAGTGGGGTAATTGGGGGAGAGTCGTGGAGTGGGATGAGGGGGGTCGTGGTGTGGGGTGAGGAGGGGGTCGTGGTGTGGGGGTAAGGTGTCGTGGAATTTGCAGAGCGCAGGAACATAAAGGTCATCCATGGCGCTGTACATTAAGTAACTTAGTCATTCACAATATACAACAAACATTATAACCATCACATGCATGACTTAAGAAATCGTAATGACACGATTGCAAATAAACCATACCCCCGGCCGGGATTGAACCCGCGGTCATAGAGTCTCAAAACTCCAGCCCGTCGCGTTAGCCACTAGACCAGCTAGCCACAATAAGATTCATCCAACTAGGTATATTTCTACACCATAGGAAAGTTAGCACAGGCACCTCTGTGACCACAAATGCAAGTTTTTACAGACGAATCTCCAGCTAGCGTGGCCGTGACGAACTCTAGCTCAAGTCCCTTCACTGCCGTCAACATGACTTAAGAAATCGTAATGACACGATTGCAAATAAACCATACCCCCGGCCGGGATTGAACCCGCGGTCATAGAGTCTCAAAACTCCAGCCCGTCGCGTTAGCCACTAGACCAGCTAGCCACAATAAGATTCATCCAACTAGGTATATTTCTACACCATAGGAAAGTTAGCACAGGCACCTCTGTGACCACAAATGCAAGTTTTTACAGACGAATTCCAGCTAGCGTGGCCGTGACGAACTCTAGCTCAAGTCCCTTCACTGCCGTCAACATGACTTAAGAAATCGTAATGACACGATTGCAAATAAACCATACCCCCGGCCGGGATTGAACCCGCGGTCATAGAGTCTCAAAACTCCAGCCCGTCGCGTTAGCCACTAGACCAGCTAGCCACAATAAGATTCATCCAACTAGGTATATTTCTACACCATAGGAAAGTTAGCACAGGCACCTCTGTGACCACAAATGCAAGTTTTTACAGACGAATCTCCAGCTAGCGTGGCCGTGACGAACTCTAGCTCAAGTCCCTTCACTTAAGTCATGTTGACGGCAGTGAAGGGACTTGAGCTAGAGTTCGTCACGGCCACGCTAGCTGGAGATTCGTCTGTAAAAACTTGCATTTGTGGTCACAGAGGTGCCTGTGCTAACTTTCCTATGGTGTAGAAATATACCTAGTTGGATGAATCTTATTGTGGCTAGCTGGTCTAATGGCTAACGCGACGGGCTGGAGTTTTGAGACTCTATGACCGCGGGTTCAATCCCGGCCGGGGGTATGGTTTCATCACATGCATAAAAATGTCTTTAGACAAACATGACTGGTTAAAAACATCGCGATTTACCATAACCGCCAGCTTAAGCTGACAGATTTACTCTGAACGCCAGCTTAAACTGACAGATTTACTCTGAACGCCAGCTTTTAAGCTGACAGATTTATTACTTCATGTGTGAAGCTCTCATTTTTTTGACAGAATACGCAGAAAGCTGATCCTGTGTGATAAAGTCTGACAGCAAACTCATCTTATGTGATGGAACGTGACATGAAAATCACCACTAGTAATAACTAACAGCCTGACACACATCACTAATCAAGGACATAATGTCCTTGAATTCTATTGATAAAATCACTGGATGACAAAACGTCTGCAAATCAAGATACCCAGATGTTTCCCATATATATAATTCTTCATCATGCATTATCTTGTTATCTCGGAGAGACCAGCATCCTACACTACAGCATCACGTTAAATTCTCAGTGTTGAAGGGGAAAATCGGTTAGATGAGATACTCAGGAATTATCTCAGCAAAATCAGAATTTCATTTTTCCTAGTTTTTCCATGGTAAAAAAGGTAAATTGGGATCAACACGGGCCAAAATCAATCATAAGAACATAAAGAAGGAGCACTGCAGCAGGCTTACTGGCCCATGCGAGGCAGGTTCAAGTCTTCTAACGACTTAAGCCAATGCCCTAACCTAGTTAGGTTAGCTTTTAAGGTTCAAGTTAATATATATTTAGGTGAATAACTAAAGTGTATTGCATACTTGTTAGTGCTCAGTAATAACCCAACACGGAGACAAACTCAGGAGGTTAGTTGATCTGTATATTTCGATCGCATTCTTGGGTCCTCTTCAGCAGGTAATTAAATTTTATTAAATCTTTGGATACACAACACATAAGAACATAAGAAAGAAAGAACACTGCAGCAGGACTTAAGAAATCGTAATGACACGATTGCAAATAAACCATACCCCCGGCCGGGATTGAACCCGCGGTCATAGTCTCAAAACTCCAGCCCGTCGCGTTAGCCACTAGACCAGCTAGTGGCTAACGCGACGGGCTGGAGTTTTGAGACTCTATGACCGCGGGTTCAATCCCGGCCGGGGGTATGGTTTATTTGCAATCGTGTCATTACGATTTCTTAAGTCATGTTGACGGCAGTGAAGGGACTTGAGCTAGAGTTCGTCACGGCCACGCTAGCTGGAGATTCGTCTGTAAAAACTTGCATTTGTGGTCACAGAGGTGCCTGTGCTAACTTTCCTATGGTGTAGAAATATACCTAGTTGGATGAATCTTATTGTGGCTAGCTGGTCTAGTGGCTAACGCGACGGGCTGGAGTTTTGAGACTCTATGACCGTGGGTTCAATCCCGGCCGGGGGTATGGTTTAACACTGCAGCAGGCCTACTGGCCCATGCGAGGCAGCTCCAAGTCCCCTAACGGCCTAATCCACTGGCCCAAGCACTATGTTGAAGCTAATCACAAGAAACATTCTTTAATTATTGAATATAAATTAATATCACTTCAGTAAAATTGGAAAACTGGGGCTGAGGCTTTCCAGTAAAAGCTGAAACCTCGCATTCACGAAAGCAAACCAGTAGTGGAAATCTGAAGCCGATCAGATGAGGCATTCTTCAGTTCAGGTTTGGATTCCACTGACTCAAATGATCAAATGGTTTCAGGAAGAAATCCAAATATTTTTTACATTAGCGAGGTAGACCCCATCCAACTATTTTATTATATTGACAAAATCCCCCCCCCCTCCCCCACACACAAAAGAGTTACTTTGCCCGGTCATAAGACGCATCAAGAATGAAATACTGACGTCGTTCAGAAGAGATAAACTGAAATTTATTTAAATAACAAAAAGTGACAATACCATGACTGGAGCAATACACAAATAACCCGCACATAGGAGAGAGAAGCTTACCACGATGTTTCGGTCCGATTTTCGGTCCAAGTCGGAAAGAAACGTCGTCGTAAGCTCCTATTGCACGTTATTTGTAATATGTAATTTGATGGAGAGGTGATTAAGACTTACATTATTTTACACATTATTTCTCCTCCCTCGTTAAATTATCAAGCAGCAGTTTCTGAACGTCTGAAGCGACTCCCATGTAAGATATTCTAGCTATTCCGGGACGCTGGGAGTGGGTTCCATAACTTTGGTCATAAGGTTCCTGCACAGGCTAATCATTCCAAAAATTTGGCTCTAGTTACCCTACACAGGCTTTAAAAATTTGAAGCCGATAGGATGAGGCGTTCTCGAGATGTAAGCAAAATGCAATGGAAAACCTGTAGGAAAAAATATCAGGTAACGACTTAAAAGTTGTCTTTCAAGGATAAGTAGTGACTCACAGCGTCACACACGTCACTAGTAGTGACTCACAGCGTCACACATGTCACTAGTAGTGACTCACAGCGTCACACACGCCACTAGTAGTGACTCAGCGTCACACACGTCACTAGTAGTGACTCCCAGCGTCATACACGCCACTAGTAGTGACTCACAGCGTCACACGTCACTAGTAGTGACTCACAGCGTCACACACGTCACTAGTAGTGACTCACAGCGTCATACACGCCACTAGTAGTGACTCAGCGTCACACACGTCACTAGTAGTGACTCACAGCGTCACACACGTCACTAGTAGTGACTCACAGCGTCACACACGTCACTAGTAGTGACTCACAGCGTCACACACGTCACTAGTAGTGACTCACAGCGTCACACATGTCACTAGTAGTGACTCACAGCGTCACACACGTCACTAGTAGTGACTCACAGCGTCACACGTCACTAGTAGTGACTCAGCGTCATACACGTCACTAGTAGTGACTCACAGCGTCACACACGTCACTAGTAGTGACTCACAGCGTCACACATGTCACTAGTAGTGACTCACAGCGTCACACGTCACTAGTAGTGACTCAGCGTCATACACGTCACTAGTAGTGACTCACAGCGTCATACACGTCACAAGTAGTGACTCAAAGCGTCATACACGTCACTAGTAGTGACTCACAGCGTCATACACGTCACTAGTAGTGACTCACAGCGTCATACACGTCACTAGTAGTGACTCATAGCGTCATACACGTCACTAGTAGTGACTCAGCGTCACACACGTCACTAGTAGTGACTCACAGCGTCACACACGTCACTAGTAGTGACTCACAGCGTCACACACGTCACTAGTAGTGACTCACAGCGTCACACACGCCACTAGTAGTGACTCACAGCGTCACACACGTCACTAGTAGTGACTCCCAGCGTCATACACGCCACTAGTAGTGACTCACAGCGTCACACGTCACTAGTAGTGACTCACAGCGTCACACACGTCACTAGTAGTGACTCACAGCGTCATACACGCCACTAGTAGTGACTCAGCGTCACACACGTCACTAGTAGTGACTCACAGCGTCACACACGTCACTAGTAGTG